AGATACTGCTACCTTTGACTATCTTTTATTTCTCTGTTCTCCTTACTATTCTTTCCACATTGTTATAGTGTCTGTTCTTACATGCATTCTTTTCCATAAGGCTTTTAACTAGTATTCTGTTTTCACTCCCAGATTTTAAAACCAGACAGTTTTTCCTGAGTCTCTGTGGTCTTTCCAGTGCTGTATAAGAAGTACATCACGTGTGTCCAAAGCACCTTCTGGAGCTGTACATCCCTACTGCCTTCTTCCTTCTTCCTTGACTTAAGCACAGCTCAGCTGTACCTCAACATTTCCATTACTTATAAATAACCCTCCAAACTATAAAAAAGCTATTTCCAGCCATCCTTACAAAATCCAGACATCTTTCCAAATTAAACCATGAAAGATTACTTAATGGGAATCCTTGACAATTCTTCAAAAAACCCTGTTGTATTTGTAAATGTTTACTTTATATGTGTGGATTGAACATATCATATCTACATCTACAATTTTACATTTTGTCATGTTTTCACTCTGAAATACATTATTAAGAATTTCTTTCCATTCAAGTTCATATCACCAAGTAAGTAGCTATTGAAAGCAATATATATGTTGTTCAATGCCAAAAATGAAGAAATTGAAGATTTTCACCAATTCTGCAGTCTGAAATTGATCAAACATGTATAATCAAGATGCTTTGATAATTACTGGTGAGTAGAATGCAAAATTTGGAAACAAAGAAGGATCAGTAGATGAAAATACGGCCTTGGTGATAGCAATGATGCCAGAGATCACAAGATAGAATTTTGCAAGACCAAGGACTTATTCATTGCAAATGCCTTTTTTCAACAACATAAACAGTGACTATCCATGTGGACATTACCAGATGGAATATGCAGGCATCAAATTGACTACATCTCTGGAAAGAGATGGAAAGAAACTCAGTATCATCAGTCAGAACAAGGCTAGGGGCTGATCATGGAATAGACATTCAGTTGCTCACAAGTTCAAGTTGGAGCTAAAAAAAAAAAAAAAGAAAACAAGTCCATGAGATCCAAAGTACAACCTTGATTATATCCTACCTGAATTCAGAGATCATCTCAAGGTTAAGTTTGATGCATTAAACACTAAAGACTGAAGACTAGATGAGTTGTGGTATGACATTAAGGACATCATAATTGAAGAAAATAAAGGTCATTAAAAAGACAAGAAAGAAAGGAAAGACCAAAATGGATGACAGAAAATACTTTGAAACTTGTTCTTGAACATACAATAGCTAAGGGGAACAAAAGAAATGATGAAGTAAAAGAGTTGAACAGAAGATTTCAAAGGGCAGCTTAAGAAGACAAAGTATTGCAATGAAATGTGCAAAGACCTGGAGTTAGAAAACCCAAAGAAGAAAACATGCTGGGCATTTCTCAAGCTGAGAGAACTGAAGAAAAAAATTCAAGCCTCGAGTTGCAATACCGAGGGATTCTATGGGCAAAATAATGAATGATGCAACCTTAAAAGGACATGGAAGGAATACACAGAGTCACTGTACCAAAAAGAATTGGTTGATGTTTAACCACTTCAAGAGGTAGCATATGATCAAGAACTGATGCTTCTGACAGAAGAATTCTAAGCTGCAATGAAGGCATTTGTGAGAAACAACCTCCAGAAATTGGCAGAATATCAATTGAGATGTTTCAACAAACTGGTGCAACTCTGGAAACATTTACCCATACATGCTAAAAAATTTGGAAGACACATACCTGGTCAATTGACTGGACAAATTCTATATAGGTGTCCTTTCAAAGAAAGGTGATACAACAAAATGCAGAAATTACCAAGCAATATAATTAATATCACACACATGTAAAATTTTGTTGAAGATAATTCAAAAATAGTTGCAGCAGTACACTGACAAGGAACTGCCAGAAATTCAGGCTGGATTCAGAAGAGGACATGGAATGATGGATATCATTGCTGATGTCTGATGGATCTTAGCTGAAAGCAGAGACTACCAGAAAGATGTTTGGCTGTGTTTTATTGACTATGCAATGGCATTCAACTGTATGGATCATAACAAATTATGGCTAACATTTTGAAGAATGGGAATTCCAGAACACTTAATTGTGCTCATGCGAAGTCTGTATATAGACCAAGGGGCAATTGTTTGAACAGAAACAGTACTGTGTGGTTTAAAATTAGAAAAGGTGTGCAACAGGGTCGTATCCTTTCACCACACTTATTTAATATGTATCTGAGCAAATAATCTGAGAAGCTGGATTATATGAAGAATGTGACATCAGGTTTGGAGGCAGACTTATTAGCAATCTGTAATATACAGATGACACAACCTTGCTTGCTGAAAGCAAAGAAGACTTGAAGCACTTACTTGCTTTGATGATCAAAGACTATATCCTTGAGTATGGATTACACCTCAACAAAGAAAACAAAAATCCTCACAACTGGACCAGTAAGCAGCATCATGATAAATAGAAAAGATTGAAGTTGTCAAGGATTTCATTTTACTGGGATCCAAAGTCAATGTCCATGGAAGCAGCAGTCAAGAAATCAAATGATGTATTGCATTGAGCAAATCTACTGCTAAAGATCTCTCTTCAAATTGTTAATAAGCAAAAATATGACTTTGAGGACTAAAGTAGGCCTGACCCAAGCCATGGTATTTTCAATTGCTCTGATTCCTGGGAAAGCTGAACATTGAGTAAGGAAGACTGAAGAAGAATTGATGCATTTGAATTAGGGTGTTGGCTAAGAATATTGAATATACCATGGACTGTCAGAAGAAGAAACAAATCTGTCTTGGAAGATGGCAAGACTTCCTCTCATGTACTTTGGACAGCCCTGGAGAAAGACATTGCGCTTGGTAAAGTAGAGAGGGTCAATGAAAAAGAGGAAGACTTAACGAGATGGATTGACGCAGTGGCTGCAACAATGGGCTCAAACATAGCAATGTCCTGTTTTACATAGGGTTGCATTAGTCGGGATGGACTGGAGGGTAACTAACAACAACAACAACAGCATAAATATATATTGTTAGGTGCCCTCTAGTCTGTTCCAATTTGTAGCAACCCTATGTACAACACACACACACACACATACATATAAAGAAAATTATATTAACACTGCCCAGTGTATATTCACTGTTTTAAACTATAAATATAATTTGTCTTCCTTGATTTTCATCCAGAGTTGCTTCTTCCTTCCTGTGAATCACTTTATTCTTTCTCTTCTTCCTTCTTACCATATTCCGCTGTAATCATAAGGGTGAGCCCAAGTTAGTAATTCTTCAGTGAACCATCCCAACTATGATCTTGAGTGCTTTGCTGAAAGTGGGGTTTGTGAAGCACAGATGTCTTGGGGGGCCAGGCAGGTATCTCCCCCTCCCCCAATGAGTATATAGTGTAAAGAATGTAATTCAATAGGGAGGAGTGGTGGGGACTCTGGCAAACATATTCCCTCTAAACAAGGCAGTTGCATCCCAGCCCCAATAGTGATGCTGAATGGAATGTGAGCCAGTGTTGCCGGATATTCAAGTTTCAGAGGAGCAGCCAGAAATTCAGAACTTTTATGAGATAAGCACCTGAGTGTTTAATGGTAAAAGCTAATCCAAATATTTATAAAATTAGTTGAGGCATGCTTGAAAATTTGTTCTAATCTGTGGGACAATAGTTTAATTTTTTGCTTTCTGAATTTTTGAGATTATGCTGTTTGCTTCACTTTAATGTTCTAGAACTGCACTGTCCAGTATAGAAGCCACTAGCTATATGTGACTAGTAAGAACGTGAAATGTGGCTAGTCCAAACTGAGATGTGCTTCTAGGTGTAAAATACACAATAAATTTTGAAGATTCAGTGCCAAAAAAAATGTAAAAAATTTCATTAATATTTTTCTATTAAGTACACATTGAAATTGGATAATCTACTTCTGCAGAGATATTGCCTCAGAAACTGAAGGAGGGGACTCTATGAATTGGATGCACTCAATGGAAGTGAGAAGTTTGAGTGATCCATAATGTTTTCATTTCAGTGTGTACTTAATATAAAAATATTAAACAAAAATATATTATTAAAGTAAGTTCACCTTGCATTTAAACTTTTTTTTCTTAAATGTGGCTACTAGAACATTTTAAATTGCATATGGATTCATATTCTATTCCTATTGAATAATATCACTTTAGAATTTAGAAAGCAGTCAAGTATAACTCCATCAGATTTAGGTATCCAGTGACCTGAGAATCTGCCTGGACCAGCAGCAGTGAATTGGTGGTGGACTCCTTACTAATACTCCCACTCAGTGAGCCCTGCTGGTCCATGGTTATATTGTCTTTTCATGTTGGTATTTGCCTATGAATACAAAGTCTACCCCTGCAGCTGCTTCTTTACACACACAAGGATCAAGACAACTGGCTTGATGAAACTGATGTCTGCTGGAGGACTGAGGTGTAGGGAAACCATTGGCCAATTTGTGCCATTCTTTGGAATTATGACAGGAAAGGATATAGGAGACTATTATGGAAGACCTAGAACATCTTGGTGAAGACAAGAACACTAGCAATGGGTGTGAAAAGTTTATGTCTGCATATTTACAACATTATGACAATGTGTTGGGGCTGATGGGAGGAGAAGATATATGAGCAAGGAGGGAATTCTGACTTACGGAGCACTCTCTGTGGATGGGCACTGTGGTAGAGCAGCTCGCATGAGGGCATGATTTTCAGAGCTTTCCAGTGGAAGGAGTTTAGGTTTTTTTTTAACCATAATTATATTTTTGGCTTTTGTGGGGCAGGGTCCCAGAGAAGGTAATGCTGACCAAGCACGGTCCTAAAGGAACTGCTGAGTAATGAACTGGGGGGTAATCTCAGGAAATGTTGTAAGTCCATGATCTAGGGATTGGAATTATCTTTGAGCTTTTTAACTGCTTGAAAGTTAATCAAGTAATTGTGATTTTTTTTTTTTTTAACTACCGCTACTACTACTAGCATCTAATGAATATTCGTGAAAATTATTTTTCAGAAAATAACCAATTCACCCCAGAAGTTAATCAGCTGCAGAAGGGAAGAGGTGGTACCCTGTGCTATGTCTGTACTGTCTTCTGAGGACCTCCTCAGGACCTGGATCTAATGGGCTTGTGGAAGGCCCAGTTGAAGCTGAGAACCTGTTCTGTACAATACAGGAGCCCTGAAGAGAAAGGCTGTGTTTCTCTTTTCCTCGATGGACGAGAGTCAAGGGAAGCAAGAAGAGCCTGTTCTGTCCATGTCTAGACACAATTGTCCGAGACAGAGTGGTTTCGTGGACAGAGCGTTGATTGAGGGTCAGGAAATGTGACCACTAGACTTGGGTCTGCAATTCACTAGCTGAGTGACCCTGAGAAAAATGGCTTAATATTTCTGGTCCTCAGTTTTCTCATCTGCAAAATGGGATTAACTACCCATCAGTCTCATAGTTTTATATACATATACACACACATATACATATATATGTATATATAATGTTGTTGTTAGGTGTCATCAAGTTGTCTTTGACTGCCCAGTCCTGTGCCATCCCTGCTATACTTGGCCCATTTTTGCAGCCACTGTGTCAGTCTGTCTTGTTGAGGGTCTTTCCTTTTTTGCTGACCCTCTACTTTACCAAGCATGATATCCTTCTCCAAGATATTTTTCTCACGTAGTGGGGAAGAGGGGTGAAAAGAGCCTTCTAGAGGTGGGTCCTAGATTAACAGGCTGAAAGGGGCCAAGGACACTTTTAGTGAG